ATGGGTGGTCGACCTTGCCTAGTGTAGAATCATACTGGACGACCAAACTAAAAAAAAATAAAAAATCATTGTGTCCTATATTAATCCATGAGTGCGTGAGTATCAATGAATCGTGTTAACTCGTATTCGAAAGGATCAACTCGTATGGGAAAGGGATTAATTGCTATCTTTGTAGTAGTCGTCATTCATTTTCTTGTTTCTTCATTCTTAAATCTTTTAATATATGGTGAACACTAATTAGTTTTAACGCGGTACATTATTTTTGAAGTAATTTTGTTTTAAGTTCTACCGAAGAAACCATATTTGTAAATGATTATAACGAAATGAAACCGCCCTCCGACACCAGGACTGATCGGATTGGTGCAGCCATTTTGGGTTTGTCGACCAAGTTGTTTCAATGTCTTAAAAGAGTCTTGGTTGGTCGACTATCGGTTATGATGTTGAAAATACTATTGCTTCGATTCTCCAGAAGGTATTCCTCCTCGGGGTCAACTGGGTTATTGTCTGGTCACGGGGTGGCCACAGCTGATAGGAAAGAGGCAATCTATGCACACATTCAGTCTTGTTCAACTGGTCCTATTGAAAACTGACTTGAGATATTTATGGTCTTATTCAGTCTTCTAATTGAACCACATTATTTTCGTATACCATGTCCTGACGATTGAATATTAGGAAAGGATGAGGCCATGAGGGTGTACGTAAGATAGCCATGTTCAGATGAGGACAAATCACCCCCCATGATGATGATCGGGTAACTATGATATGAGATATTAAATTGTCATTTCTCCATATAAGTATGTATGATATACTCAAAGCCTTCTCCTAATTCTCATACCAGAGTAGCGAGGGGAGGAGCCCTACCACTTCTTTACAGGTTTTAGGCTGCCAATGCCACCATTAGTAGAGGATTGGCAACACGAATATTATTGAAAGAATAATGTTATTTATAGTGAAAACTACTGATAGTCTTCCTACGTGGCATACATGTGTCGCTTTGTTATTTGATACATTAATGTGATAGTTTTTTATTGTTTTATGCATCAAATGATAAAGCGACACATGTATGTCATGTAGGAAAATTATATGTAGTCTTTAGTATGAATAACGTTACTCTTGGTGAAATATTAACTAAACTTTATTTAACCTTTTATAGATTACTATGTAATTAGAGCCCCATTAAATAAATTTAAAAAAGAAAAGGTTTCCAAGTTGAGAGTGGAATATGCATTGGTTTTTTGTAATTTTGTTGCCTCAAATAGCATGATGTCATATATGATGATTACTGCAGTCGTTGACTATGAATAACGTTATTCATATTATTAATATTTAATTTAACATTCTTTTCTACATGCACTAGTTAAAGAACTTGACACTTTTTAAATCATTTTCCATAAAATAATAATAATAATAAAGGGGTAGTTTCAATAAACATAATTGTTGTTAGGATCACTTGGATTTATTGACACCGTTGGAAATTTTCTCGTAGAAGTGGAGGTTCGATCGCCCTGTAACTTCAACCAATACTATCGCAATACTTTTATGTTACTAATGTGGGTGTATTTGATACATATTATTTAAGAAGAATGTATTCTGGAATAGTAGATTGATGAAAAATGTGTGGTTGAAAAAGAAGGAAAAGTTATTGATGTGATATAAAATATTATTTTATCGAAGAATGTGTGGTTGAAAATGAGTAGAAGAATGAAAATGAAAATTTTAATGTGTCATTTCATTTGTTTAGTTTAACATTGAATGGTCACTTGACACTCGCGACTTACGTAAACGTGGACCGAAGAATAAAATTGTTCTTAAAGATTTTATTTATTTCAATACATAATATATTGTAACTTCAACTTTCAATAAGAAATATAGATATGATAAAATTGTTTAGTGTTCCAGTAATCAACATCTTTTCTTACTTAAACATATCGACGACATGCATTATGTGAGTGTTACGTGATCATTTAGTCCCTTTTTTGTTATGATTAAAATCATATTTTTAATAACAGTTGATGAAAAACAATATGGTTGATGCATCCAACGTATAATTTGTTGAATCCATGTACACAAGCTTATAACATTGTGTCATTTCATTAGTTTATTTGATAGTTACATGACCACCTGACACTCATGTGAAGTTGGATTGGAGACTAAAATTGTTCTTAAAGATTTTCTTTATTTCAAAACAAAATACAATGTAACTTCAACTTTCAATTAGAAATAAACCAATACTGTCGCAATACTTTTATGTTACTAATGTTTAGGAAATAATGAACAAAAAGAAATTGTTCTGTCGCCAAAACGTGGAAATTTTTTTGCCTTTGTCATGAGAATTGGGTTTCACTTACTTTACCTAATGCTTCAACTTTTGATATGAAAGGCCAATTCTCAAAATGTGATAGGTTAGTTAGATTTTAGCGCTTATTTGATAAAAATATATATATATATACACACGATTCTTTGAAAAAGTATATTTTGGTAAACAACTGATTAAAAATTAAGAAGAGTTACAAGAAAATGTGATTTTTTTTCCTTTTGAGAATGAGTAGTTGAAAATGATGCGAGGGAAAAGTGATTCTAAAAAAAAAATATGATTAAAATCATATTTTTAATAACAGTTGATGAAAAACAATATGGTTGATGCATCCAACGTATAATTTGTTGAATCCATGTACACAAGCTTATAACATTGTGTCATTTCATTAGTTTATTTGATCGTTACATGACCACCTGACACTCATGTGAAGTTGGATTGGAGACTAAAATTGTTCTTAAAGATTTTCTTTATTTCAAAACAAAATACAATGTAACTTCAACTTTCAATTAGAAATAAACCAAAACCGTCGCAATACTTTTATGTTACTAATGTTTAGGAAATAATGAACAAAACGAAATTGTTCTGTCGCCAAAACGTGGAAATTTTTTTGCCTTTGTCATGAGAATTGGGTTTCACTTACTTTACCTAATGCTTCACCTTTTGATATGAAACGCCAATTCTCAAAATGTGATAGGTTAGCTAGATTTTAGCGCTTATTTGATAAAAAATATGTATATACACGATTCTTTGAAAAAGTATATTTTGGTAAATGACCGATTAAAAATTAAGAAAAGTTACAAGAAAATGTGATTTTTTTTTTTATCTTTTGAGAATGAGTAGTTGAAAATGATGCGAGGGAAAAGTGATTCTAAAAAAAAAAATCAATCAAGGGCTCAATATAGTCATGCATATGTACAAAATGAACTTTGCATGTGTGTGCATACGATCAAAAAAAGGGCGGGCTCTAGATGGGTGTGTGATCTTCTTTTTGATCGCTTGAAGGGGCTATCATGGGATCGAAGATGTGTGGATAATAGTGTCTCTTTGTTTAAACACAAAGATAATCTTAAATTTTGCATCGAATAAAGTTAAGAATATTAACCTATATTTTAAGGGTTTGTGTTACTCTTGACCTTTTAATATGGAACTTCAACTCTTAATATGATAACAAAGTCTATTAAGATCAAAGATTTAGACTATTCCTCTTAATTAGGTCGACTTTTAAGATGAAACTCAAGTGTTGATATATAAATTCTACGTCATGTAAAGATGAGAATATCAAAGCATATCCAATTATATTCTTTATTTTAGAGAATATCTTCTACCATATAAAGAACATTTTAAGGATTTTGTTTTCATTTTCATTTTTAAATAAGGAGCGAAACTTTTCAAATAACGCCAATAAAATTCATTATTTTGTTTTTCCTATAAGCAGTGATTGTTCATCCTTTAACAAATAGATAAACTTGATGTAGGAATCAAAGAAGTATTTTTTTTAAGAAATGAGTAGAAAATTGTGCAATAATAAATGAAGCATGTATAGAGAGTGAATTTGACTCTCTACATTTGGAGGGTCAAATCCATTATGTATTTTAATTTTTGAATATAAAGAATGTATTAAACATATAAAAAAGAATTTCGACCCTTTGAAATAGAAACAATAAACTAATGTAGAGCTTATTGGAGATGATTTTAACCAATATATACAAGTTTGAACTACTATTCCTAATAACGTTAGTTTTTTAACATGGAACCACAAATTTTAATATGATATCAGAGTATATTAAGCTCAAATGAACAATTTGATCTAATTAAGATTCAATCGAGCTTAAAAGTTCCAAAAATGGTATGTTTAAACGTGTCATCATCTTACAAGGACATGTTAAGGAATAAATGATAAGAATATTGATCAACATAAAATGATTTGTTCTACTCCTTTAGACAAGTAATTCATTTTTTTGACTATATATTTGTTTAAATGAAAGATAATAATTATTGTGCTTAGTCTTTTAGAATATTTCATGTCTGTTTAGGATTTGCAACACCTCAATTTTTCATAATTCAAGTTCTAACCCTACTTGTAAACAATCTCTTTTAGCAAATATGAAACTATGCATCTCAAATGAAATTCTTCTTCTGCTTTAGAAAAATATTAAAATTGTTAGTTTAAATTCTTGTTTAATTATTTTCAAGTATTGATTATTCTAAATATCTACTCTCTCCGTGACTCCGTCTCATTTATATAATATGCTTGTTTTGTTTTTCACACGGATTAAGAAATCTTATTTAATGTTATTGAAAAAGTAATTTTTGTTAATAACTTACCTAATTTACCCTCATTTAATTATCAATAACTAGTAGTAAATTATTATTATAAATAATACAGAAATAAGGGTATATTAGTAAATAAACAAAACAAAACATTCTTAATAAAGAAACAAGATTATTTGAGAGAAAAAAATAAGGAAAGTGAGCCTATATAAATGAGACGGAGGGAATATTATAATTCATATAATGGATAAGTTTCTATCAAAATCTTAAGAAAGTTAAAATGTGATTTTGTAGTTAGAATCGAGAATCAAATCATAACTCTTGGCTTCTCAACTAACATAATCATGCAGTTCATTTAGTTAAGGAGGAAGAAGAGGAGGGGTTAACATCTATATGAAATTATCTACCCCTTTTAGTCCTCTGCAGAATCCCCTACTCCTTCCCTTGTTGTGGAACTACTTGTCAATACTTGATCTGATTCAGTTGAAGATTCTGCAAATTCTTCTTTGTACATTTCTTCAATCATAGGCTTCCATAGTCGAACTCGAGCATTTATGAACCAGTTAGAAACCTGAAACAATCGTTTCACACACAAAACCATTGGAAAACATTTATAGCATAATTTTCATTTAAAGAGGAAAAGTAGGTACTTGGTTCTTTGACAATCCTGTTTGTGATGCCAACATAAGCTTTTCTGAGTCATTAGGATATCTGAGAAAAAATAAAAAACTTTAACCGGCATCGTTTTGGAGCAAACTTGGAAGTTATTCGGGAAATAGAGCACGTACGGATGAAGGAAGTGTTCGAAGAGCCAAGCACGAAGAATTGTCACAGAAGTCTCAGGTAGTCCTCTTATCGGTCTGCACACTTGTCTTGATGTTTGGATGATTCCTAGCTGTTGAAGTGACATTCGATTATGTCTTGCTTCTTGATCAGACAAGCTTAGTTCAGACAAACCCGAGCTAATTCTTGGCAATTCTTTCGTAATCTTTTTTCGTGTGACATGAATTTGAAATAAAATTGCATTCCTTATGCTGCAAAAGTGTTTGGAAATAGCTTGGAGTGCAAGAGCAGTATAAGATTTTCCTGCTTTTGAACCTGCTATAACCCCAAATGATGACACGGTTTTCTCCATATGATGATAATAATCCTCGTATTGTCTTTCCACCTGAAAAGTAAACATCAGTCGAGAACAATAAGCAGATGGGACGAGATAAAAGCTGTTGAATTAGAGTAATCCGACATTTAAAGGTAATGATCAACCTCCTCAAGCAAGGCTATAAGCTTTACAAGGTTGAGATAAGTTTCATGTTTTTCAATCAACAGTTCATTGTTTGAAAACTCTGCTTTCAGTTCGAATGAAGAGCCTTTCTTACAACTGCGCGATAATATCTCGACGTAGTTCTGGTTGCTCAAGTCAATGTCCTTCCCCCCAACACTAACCATTTCTTCTAGAAGGGATTGAGCTGGTTTCAAATATTTCGATCTCCCAATTGCAGCAGCAAATGATTCAGTTCCATATGATGTCGAACAAGATTGGTTCATGGGAGAAAAATCATTTCCGGTGAAAGAGAAATCATTGGCCATTCGATCAAGTCCCGTGTAAACAGGACTAATGAAGTTTGATGAATTTAAGGATCTTTGCCCGGATTGCACTGACCCTAGAGATAGAGATAGCCTCTGGGCTTGCTGGGAAACCTCAGTCGATGTTCCAAGAAGATCGATTAGTCGTATATCCCGGTCTATACGAGTTTCATCTGTTAGTTGACGGGTATGAACAAGGTCTGTAGATCTAGATATTCTTTCATCAAGAGAATAAATGTTTGGCAGCAAACCTAGAGACTGGGGGTGAGGACTATTTCCAATAGAATTTGCTGCATAAGGATCAAAATGTTGATTTCGAATCTCACTCTGACTAGCTATGGAGTTTGAGACAATGAATTGGTGTAGAATACTTAAATTGGAATTCGAGGGGGAATCTTGTGAAACCATGCTAACAAATTGCTAATAAAATCACTGATAAAATATTTTGATAAAGATTGGATCTTGATCAGAAAATGAACCAGAAGTACAGAGTGCAGAGAAAACGTGGATTTTTTCAAAGGAAACTATCAAGGGAGAAAATGATTNAAAGGAAACTATCAAGGGAGAAAATGATTTTATACATGGAATGAGATTAACGTTAATAGAGCTCAATTTCATACTACAAACAGAAGAATTCTGAAATGCAAGTACAAAAGGAATCGTAAAAATCTTGAATTGATATCAGAAAGTAAAAGCATTCTTGAGAAAATGATGGATGTAAACAGAGGTCAGTAGTAAATGAGACGAGGTACAAGGTACATAAAGAAGAGAGATGAATGACAAACTCCTAAATGCTTGTTTGGTACGTAATACTAGTAAATTACTCGACAATATAATAAAGAAGATTTTATTTTATTTTTCTTCCTTAATATTGTCCCTTTCGACTCTGTCCGAACATAATTAAACAACTTATAAGAAAACATGCCTCTTAACTTGATAATAGTTCATTCAAGAAGGAAAAATAGATTCTCTCTGTATCTCCTATTTTTCTGATGTATATATAATATAGGGTACCCTAATGTCAGCGTACTGAGAGCTATAAAAGCTATATGATCAGAGCTCTGCAACATTTTTAAAGAAGCAAAGCTATTAACCAAGTGAAAATGCTGAAAATGATAAGGTAAAATGGTCCCCCACCCTACGCCACCCACCCCCCTCTTCCCTGAATACTAAACAACAAGCTAAGGCATCAAGATTGCAGCTTTAATGCCGGCTATACGTTTCTTTGGGCCACCAAAAATAGCACTTTCAGCTCAAATTTCTCTCTTTCTATTCACATGGTAGAAATAAGCCAACATGATAAATTGTTTTCTGCCATCTAGAAAAAAGCAAGGACAAGTAGAGTGTCTTTTGCACACTTCCAGTTTTAAGATTGTCTGATCGAGAATCCATAAACATATGGGAATATCTAGCCTTTTTCATATTAGCTGTTGTTGTCTGATGTTGAAAGGACACTGCATTCATAATCTTTCAAAGACAAGAATGTGATGTTTAAAAATAAGTTCCTCATGCTTGTGACTAATGGTGTTGTGGGCTGTTGAGATTAATGAATATGTTGGCTCTGATACCACTAATCATAAGGAAGTCCCAAAATAAGGTTTTATGCTCAACATAGAAGGTAGCACGAACAAGTTGAGTTAACGTAGTTCGACACTTGGCCTACGTCCATGAGAAGAAACTCAAGAAAGACGAACTTCACTAAACGAAATGGGAGAATAGGAAAGAGACCAAAAGACTGTAGTAGTGATTACCATTTTTGCACACGTCCCTTTCAGTACTAGATCACTTTCTTATTTTGTAGATTTGTTGGTCAATAGAACTCCAAGGCTATTTACTGATGAAAGTGACTGAACAATCTAAACAGCCTAGCAAAAGGCAAAGGAAAGTTCTGCTTTCCTGGGTTATCCAGAATCTCTTGATAAGATTCATTTTCAACCACAGGTCCACAAGAATCAAACAAGTCGAAACCAGTAAGGAAATGAAACAGTTTGGTAGCAAAAGAAAATGAAATAAAGGAAACTTAGTTTATAACTTTATCTGATAAAATTAAAACCACATTTTCATAGAACGTAGATCGTCCTGTCATTTAGGACTTCATTTTGCATTTAAACATTCAACGGACATTGTTTGGGCAAGAACTCGGCCCGAACATACGAACATACAATCGGTTCATGTACAATGTCCTAGTGAGCTTGTGAACAGATTTACAGGTTCGAAACATTTCTTTACAAATTAGATAACAAGATTTCAATATTTTCATAACACATTAATACTCTTGGTGGCTGATTGCTTTTAATCCTTTTAAACTTGTCACAAAAATTTAATAGTCATACATGCATTAACATATCCAATGAATGGAAAATTACAATTTGTACGGAATTTCCTTTACAAACAAGTGTTCCATGAACTTTACATACTATACAATGCAATATCAGAGCACATTTATCATGCTTAATTCTGGACTACTTGATTATTTCTGCACACAAAGAAAAAACCTCTGCAAAAAATATAACAGGGCAAAGCATCTCCGCCTGTGTCTCATGTTGCAGGTAACCTTTTTATCATGCCACAAAATCCGATAACAGGTTGGGATTGGCAAATCTGTGCTGTTGATTTACAGGGTCCATGTAACGGTATTCCAATTTTTCGAGACCCATTGAAGAAGCTGTAGCACCATCTTCGCTTGGTCGCACTTGCATTCCACCAGATATTGGGTGGGGATTTTTCTCACAATGTTGCAACCCCAGTGCAAGTGACACTTGATTTCCAATTGTGTTTCTCGACATGGAAATATCATGTCTATTACCAGCAGCATCAACAATCCCACAACCAGTCTTCTTGTGCGATACTCTTTCATCAGAGAAAATCCTATGATCAGCCACATTAAGTAGTTTCTTTGGATGTAATTCAGTTAGTCCGAAATTAAGTTCATTGTCTTGATAAGGACCAGCCTGGTAGCTCAATTTTGCTTCATGTTCATTCCATTCTGAACTTGAAATAACATCAGTCATAAACTCACTGGACTGAGCCATGTGATTGCCATTCACCGATGAAGACATTAAGCTTCCCTGAAGTTCTTCCTCTCTGTCATCATAAGAAGACTTCTCCTGTGCTGCCGCTGCATGTTCTGGCGAAGTCTTAGGTTCTGCTTCTGCATCCCGGAACTCCTCCTTGTACATCTCCTCAATCATGGGTTTCCAAAGACGTACACGTGCATTGATAAACCAGTTTGCAACCTGATCAAGTCGTGAACATATCAATTTTGACTTGCTAAATCGCGATGCCTCGAATACGACAATTAATTTCAAGTCACCACTCACCAGTGTAGCTAAAGGGATTGTGTTTACACTATCGCATGGAAACTATGCGAAGGAAACGTGCTAGATAAAGTCGAGAATATTTTTATCTATCAAAGATCAAGGTTCGGAATTTAAACATATGAATTGACGGTCTTAATCACAGTTTAAGCATATGAAGAGATACCTGACTTCGAGTCAATCCTGTCTGCTTTGCAAGGATGATTTTTTCTGAGTCTTTCGGGTAACTGTGGATTAACCAAAACTTAGTAGTTAGGACATTGTTCTATAGTAATCGGCGGTGTCCATGAGAAGATAGTAGATAACAATAACATACGGGTGAAGAAAATGCTCAAAAAGCCAAGAACGAAGGACAGAAACAGCATTTTCAGGCAAGCCTCTCTGTGGTCTCCAAGATTGTCCACTCATACCAAACTGCTGAAGTGCCTTTTGTTGCCTCAGTTGCTGATCCACAAAGCGAAGACGAGATAACACTCCTTGACCATGCGAAGTCACATCTTGCTCCCCCAACATTTTTTGAGTAACTTGAATATGCCTCTTGATTGCATCACGCAAGCAGCGGAACTGGTGGGAAATCGTGCGACGGGCAAGTGTAGTGTATGGTTGGGCAGCACCACGCCCTACCCCCATTTCGAACGATGATACCAGAACTTGCATCTGATGGTTATAATATTTGTATCTTGTATCTACCTACAGCCCAAACAGTTCAAAAGTGACGAAATAAATGAAAACTCTAAATCAAGTATAATTAATGAGACTTGGACCTAAAAAGAGGAGAACTAAGACGATAAAAACATGGTAAAGTAATATTAATTGAAGGAACTATGCAAATGGTCTCACCTCATCGAACATAGACCATAGTTTTGTTAACTTGTTTTGTAGATCACGTCGTATAGAAGGTGAAAGTTCAGAAGAAGCATTGATAGTTAACTCATAAGGCTCAGAAGACATCAAGTCCCCTTTCACATCCGTCCCGATGGAGCCATCTCGACCAAGTGAATTGAAGTCCTGGTGTTTCTCTGGCTTTTCGAGAGCTCTATGAACACTGACTACTTCATTGAGTAAATCTTGAGCAGCACTGAGATACTTTGAGATCCAAAACGTTCTTGTTATTCCTGTTGCTTCACGTGGAGATGACGTAGAATGTATTTCTCTGGGACTTGTCAAGAGTTGATCACTGTTGACAGCTCCATATTTGACAGTATCCCGAGTCCCTCCAGCTAAATCAAATGACAGATATTCAACATTCTTTACTCCATTGATTTGAGAAACCTGGGCCTGGGAATGTACAGCATGCAAACTCAATGGGGAGGAGAGACTCGAGTTTGTGTGCTGGTTGAAATTCGACGGCCCCTGAACCAAGGATGGTACTCGAGATCCCAAGCTGAGAGATAATCCATGATACAGAGAATTTTGTTCCGAGCTGTAGGCGTGGAGTGGTTGTTTAATAAATTGAGGATCGGTCAAAACAGTATCACCATCTGAATAACCTGGCATCACATGTAACTGCCTATTGATTTGCTGCATACTTGCAGGAACCCCAAATGGAGGAATAAATACCATCTCGTCTCTGTTTCTGATATTTTCGGCTTCAACATGGTCACTAGTCGATAAAGAATTTCCAGAAAATAAGTTTGTTGCATAGTTTAGAGAAACAGAAGGTTGGTTTAAAGACATTTTGTCATTAGGAAGCACGAATGACTGATAAGGAGTAAGAAAATATGGAATCGTTAGCAGTCTCCTCCAGTAGTTAAACTCGAACAAAACGTAGCCATTTGTTTTCTGCACTCGTTCGAATATCGCCGGTCCCAGTTGACAAACACAAAACCATTACCGGCGATTCCAAGGATTAAAGGAGTGATTTGCGAGCTGAGGATGAAGAATAAATAGCAATCAGACTATGAAAGCCGAACTTGAAGGAAACGATAGGCATCAGAAATATAAATCCCATCCCCCGTATGGTTTGCTATATACACAGCCAACAAATTGTTTTCTTTCTCAATCACCATCTCTCCCTGCCAAGTTCTCAGTGTTATTAAGCATCATCAATTTACTGTGCATTAGTACTCAAATTATAAACACTGCCAAATAGGATATATCTCATAATCAGAACTTATGTTGCTGTATCATAATCTCATATACGTATTCTGCTAAAATGTTTTGTGTGTGGGAGGTGGGGTAGGATAGGGATTCAGGAAAAACAGAGAAATATAGAAAGAAAAGTAAATTTCCAATAAAAAGAGTATGTTTCTATTGAACTCATAATCACCACCATCAATTGATCATCATGCGTAATTTTGGAAATAAATGCAAAACCCACATCAGAAATAATATTGACTACTTCATAAAAACATAATCAATCACAACTACAGCAAAGAAATGAATTAAGAAAAGCAAAGGTTAGAGAAGGCAAGAACTGGGTATTACCTGGAAAAAAAAAGTGATTCTTGCTCAAAATTATTATTGAGAAAAAGGAGCTCCACCTCTTATATGGAGACAAAACTAATGCCGAAGATCCCCAACAAACCAACCCTCCTTATCATTGAACAATGACACCAACCTACAAAAAAATATTAAAAAAACAATAAACATAAACAAAAAGAAAGAATTATTACCCTCCAACCTTCTGTTCTTGTAATAAAAGACAATATATTCCTTTTCAGTTATACCCTCCTTTCCTTTCTCACGTGGGGACAAGTTACAAGCCCAAGATCACCTAGAAACTTCTGTAGAAAACAATAAAAAAAAAATGTCAACTTCACAGTTGTTTTTTACAAGTTATTTTTAGTGTTAGCTTATGGTTTTAAAAACATAACCACCAGCCAGTTGGTGGACCTAAAACCAAGGTCTTAAACCTCCATTGAAAGCATGGTTTTTTAGTTGTTGTTGTAACAGTAGTTAGGCATAAGTCGGTTGAATTTAATTTATACTCTACTTATAAGCTGTATCCAGAGGTAGCTAAGTACTATCACTAAGATATATGTGTTGCATCCATTCTTTTAATGGTGGTTGATCATTTAAGCAACTGTATAATTTACTTCGACTGTCCGTTTGAATACATCTTGTGCACAAATGTCGTCTAGGACTTATTCTTAAAATCGGCTTCTAATAACAAAATAGAATTATACTCTAAAATTCATTCACAGTCCAAAGTTGTAAAGCCCTAGGCATCTCATCTGCTGGGTAAAGAGAACAATATAATTATTTAGTTTTGGCTAATTTATTACTCATTGGCGGCTGTCGGTGAGCATATCTTGGCAGTTAAGAAGAATATACATTGTTATCTACATAGTCTATTCATTTGTATGTTTTATTGGATAAAATGAGTATTATTTTCAGTAGTTGTAGTGGACCGGTTAACCTATATATATATATATATATATATATATGGATGGACGGACAGGTTACCGTGACACATCATCAATAAGTTATAAGAAATTTTCTGCTAATTAATTGGTAACGAAATTTGATCTTCATGTTCTGTCCATTGTATGAGGCAAATATCAGTTGCCATCAACTACTTTTCAACAGCACCGTCCCCCACCCAAAATAGAAAAAGAAAAGAAAGCGTATATGCACAAAATCATACGGAACAAGCTAATACATTACTAATATGTTTAGAAAGATAGATTCCACAATAGTAAAAACTAAAATCCGATTCATATATTGGCGATCAGCACTATTTTCATAAGAAGAGATCCAATATCACAATTGAGAACTCCATAAGATATCCCAAATTTAGGATTTCTTAAAGTACTTATTAAGGTATACGCTTTCCTAGATTTCTTGTTTTTTGACAGGTTCAATCAAATCTACAACAAAATTATGCAAAGCAACTATCGCTGAGAAACTCGTCAAAACTGCTGAATGTCACAGTAAGTCCTCTGTCAATTCTATCCCAGATTCAGCATCTACTCGAGGAACAACTGGAAAGGGCACATCTTCCTACTCTTGCAGGGTGTTGTATCGAGTGGACATTAAGGCATGGACACAAGCTTGTCCTTGATCAACAGAATCTTCCCTACAAATAGTATTGAAAAAAATTGAAGAGGTTAATTACGTTGATAGCCAAACTATATTGACACTAGGATCAATAAGTATTAGCGTGTTGAGAAACTCACATAGTCCAACCATAAATCAAATTAATTTCCATCGATGTCTGATTCAAGCTGTTTCCCAAATTTCTCCAGTGCAAGAGAATATATTGCTTTTCTTTTCATTGATGTTCCTGCAGCCACCAACTTCACTGCCTGTATTAGATAAAGCTTGTTACCGATACAAGGTATTTTACCAATCTACCATAATCGATCCATGAATACAGTTAAAGTAAAGCGAGCAAGCTCCAAATACAGTAAGCCCTATCTATTACATAAAGAGTAAATTATAAGGCAAGCACTTCAATTTGTTTGGAAACTTGAATATTAAACAAAGTATGATATAAACATTTCCCATCAATTTGGTGGAAACTTAGAAGTCCAAACTATTATTCTGTAGCATGTTTTGCATGCTTAGATTTGGTGAACATTTCTCAACAAAAACCTAACCTATTAATATCCAAAATTTGTGGCTACTCACAAAAGCATGTTCTCTTATTACACGTACCACAATTTAGAGCACGATCTCATAATACTAAATTAAGCTCATGTTTGGTAAAGATTAAAATCAGATTCTTAGTAGATTTTGATAAAAGTTGATGAAATGTGTGATTGAAAAGTTGTGGGTCCCATGAAATGTGTGGTTAAAATTAATTGTTAATTTTGACTTGAAATTTTAATCGGATTTTAATCCAAACCAAACAGGGGCTAAAGAAGCTCTATTGAAGTTTAGGGCAGCCTAGATATTTTCCTATTATTGTGTAACTCATGTCACCTAACGAATCAATTAGTAGTTCTCATGAGTGAGTTTGCTATATTTTGTGTGTCTGCATGGTTGATTCGCCGGCATTGCGATAGATAAAACAAAAGTAGCCAAGTAACAAAATCAACTAGTAAGAGGAAATTAACAAATTAATTACGTCCATGCATCAGCTAATTTTATAATAACCAATGTTACAAATCAATATCACTTCGATATCAGCATCATGCAGATCAGTGTCTGAAGAAACAGAAACAGAACATATGCATTTGTATGTGCTGAATAAATCTGAAGAAACAGAAACTGTGGGGGAAGCCATTACCATAGAAAGGCTATGCCCTTTCGAGATCAACAATCTCAACTCATTCTCAAGTTGAGACTCTGTAAGAGTTTCATCCTTGCTAATTGTCATTCCTTCAATCAAGAGTGTAATTTCTCCCTTTGGTTGGTGGGCTGAGTATACTTGTTTGGCTTCCCCAAGAGTACCACGCCAGAACTAAACAAACACGATAATATCTTAGTTAATGGGAGGTAAATAAAATAATTCACAAAGATTTCTAGGTTATTTTTCAAATTCGGAGAATAATACAAGTGATATGCTAAACAACGAGAAAATGCATCATAGCTTCATGAAATACTTACATTAAGCCCCTGTTTGACTCCCTTTAAAACAAAACAATTTATTTCTCATACTCATTTTCAACCACACATTCACGTAATAAAATATTTTGTACATAAACCTAAAACTTTTCCCCACTTTTTAATCACGCATTCTCCAAAATGGCTAGAGATTCAAATACTATATGTTAAAGAATGTTAAAATATAACTGCTACTCCCATCCCCTTGTATCAAAGAGGAAAGGAACTACTCCACTATTTTAATAACAGGTTTGGTTTAACTGATTAATGTCTAAATCCGATCAGGCACATGATGTCTTTCAAATGACAATGCAATGAACGGGTGCTAAAATCAAGGACTAGACTAGTGGCATGCACTTTACTATACAGAGTGGTGGTTGTGATTAGAATTTGTAATTTCCTTGGCTAAGAATTCAAATTTCACAATAGGACGTGTATAGTAAGTAATTACTGTAAATCAGGTTATATATAGTTGTTGAAATGTGAAGACGTCGAAACATCACAACATTGAAGAAAATAAAGGAACACAGGAACAAAAGGAAAAAATACAAGTCACCTTAAAAATCTCATCCCATGTAAGACCCACTTGTTCTCATAACATTTCAGTAGTGATTTGAAAAGGACCTTAACCAAGAAAAGATAAGGTGTCTGTATACTAACAGTTAAATGATCACCATCTCCCCAAGCTTATTATATAAGCAACATTTTTTGTTCATGGGATTCATGACGGACACAAAACACGACAATTTCTTCAGATTGAAGACAGTTTTGAACCTTCGCAAATATAGTTAGGCAAGTGGGGTGGAGGAAAACCATTAATAAGCTAACAGTCTATTTGGTAATAATAGAATTGGGATGTAAAATTATGATGGACTAACATGTCCAACATTTGGCACGAGTGAAAATAAAAGGGATGGAAAATGGGACTGAATCCCAGCCATCATTTCAAAAACCCCAAATTTGAGGGCAAATTCAAGAAAAAACTATAAAACAATTAGTTGAAGTTTACAAACTTACTCTTTTTACCCATCTTAAAGACTTCATTATGCATAGAGGAAAATTCCTTCATAGGACACTTTTGGGTGCGTTTCATTATCAATATTTTCCATGGAAAATGTGTTTTTCCATCTAATTTCCTACTTTTGTGCTGTTTGATTGACAATTTTTTTCACGAAAAATATTTT